AAAGGCAGGAGCATGGAAGGCCTTACAGCAGCATGCTAAACATGTGCTCTTTGGCAATTTGCTAATTCCCATGTTTGTTTATCATTGTTTTTCCAAGTACAAGTGGAAAGCTGACTGCTGTGAAATGTATTGAAAGGATGGAGTCCTTGACACTTAGCACAGCAGAGACAGTTAGGTCGTTGAGATATCTAAACTGCCAAGCAACAGCATACCTACGTATAATCTCACTAAATGTATAATCTCACTAAAGTATCAGTAGTTCATCCATTGCTATCTTGTCTTGAAAAAGAAGGATTTACTTTTGATGTCTCTCCTTTTCTCTTTAGCTTTGTGCCACCTCATACACCTCAACCTCTCTATTTCCCTTGCTGATCTGAAGCTGGTAATCCCCTTTGTGATGCCATTAATGTGCCATTTTTTGGACGTACACCAAATGTGGAGGTGTTGGTTATTCACTTTAAACTGCATGCAGTGTCTCATTAAACATTTTCAGAGCATTTGGGATCTTAACTCTGTCATTGCAGGGTCTTGGTGCAAGTGCAGGTGAAATTCAAGTTAATAAACACCTTCCAGGCTGTGTTACACAGGGGATTGATTTCAGAAGAGAACTGTGGAGCTGCCTGTGTGCCTAAGGCTCATTTCCAAGGCAGGAGGATATGGTTGAAGTGCCTGGTTTGGTATGGTTTCAGACCGACAGGCTAGTCTGGCTGGAGTTGAACCATGACTTTCATGTATCTCTATTCCATTCTCATGCTGGTGCCACCAAACATGCATTTCAGGGTTATCTCCATCTCCCTATCCCACCGTTTTGCTAGCCCGCTGAAGAGTGCTGAGCCTCTTGATGTTTCTGTACGAAACAACCTCATGCTTCCGATCATTCTCCCCGGACTGACACTTAGAATCAAGGGTTATGCTGATTCAGCGTCAGCTCTGCTCAACAGGACATGAACCCCCTTTTATAATAAAGGGATGGGTGTGTGGAAGTTTGATCCCAGATCCTTTTTACTACCACTCATATCACAAACCACAAAATAATGTAAATATTTTTGTTTTTGCAGAGTGGTACTGAGAATTGGTATAAAAATAAGTCAAACAATTAAAATGCATGGTTAGGGTGTACAAACTTCGTTTCTGATTTTTATAAGGCTGCTTGAATTCTATTGGTTGTATTTAGGAGGAGCCAAGCTCGTTTTCTAAGAAGCTATGGTTAACCAAAATTGCAGTTATCAAATAGACCTGGAGAAGGCAAATTAACATCTAGATAATGTATTTACTCTACCATAAGTGCAGAAAATGCATTGTTGTGGTGTGAATGATATATTAAGAGCTGTTTCAAGTATCTGGCACACTTGCCCTTTGGACAAATGATAAAGAATCCATTTAAGTCAGTAAGCATCAGTTATGATCATTTCTCTTTATTAAATGTAACAGTAATTGTATCCATTAAGTTATATATTTTCGACTTTTAAAATTGGTACATTTTTAAGTAATGATTGATCGTGGTGAGCTTTTCCACTTAATAAAAAGATTCATGTCCCATATATTCTCATTGCCGATGTTTAGAGTGATGTTAAAAAGAGAATCAGGGATTGTGGGCCCAATCCTGATCCCATTCAGATTAGATGCCTTTTATTATGGATTTCGTAGGACCAGAGCAAATGTCTATGTAATTATTGGCTGCATCACTATCTAAAAAAAGCGAAAAGGGTTATTCAGCGATAAACCCGAATTTTTGTTTTAAGCCTGGCTGAGGTACAGGAAATTTAAGCGATGCAAACGACAGAGTCCCAGTTTTTCAGTGAAGGAAAGGGATAGGTGGGTCTCACCTGCTCGCTGGCCGTACTCATCCATCCATCCGTCTGTCCATTTGTGTGTCCATCCTCTCCCGCGGAGCCAGACCGCCCGGGCGCCGGGGAACCGCGGTGCCGTTCCTACGGCCGCGGCAGGATTTCCCCCAGTAGCCTGTCCCCTGCGAGTTCGTATGTCAGGAAACCCCGTTCCCTGCGAAACCCGAAATGTCTGCCGGAACCTCCTCCTGAAATAGCCCTCAGAGAAGACGCGGCCGAAGCCGATTTCTAACTTCCGAACATCTGTCATTTTTGCTTTAAAACTCCCGTCCCCAACCTCTACTCTCACGTTTCCCCCGTGTCCGAGGCGATCCCTGCTGCTTCTCGGAGGCGAGACGGGAATGTTGGAGGCCGATGCAGCGGGCGCAGGGTTCGAGGATCGGGCGGGGAGCGCGGTCGCAGCGCGACTGCCCGGGGGCTTCGCGCCACCGCGGCCCCTCCGAGCGCCGCCTGCTCCGGCCCGCCCCCCGCCTCTTGGTCCGGCCCGGTCCTGCTCTAACCCGTAAGTACCTCCGCGGCGCTGAAACGGCCCCCCGGCCCGACCCCAGCCGCAGGGACCGGTCTCTTGGCCAAAAAGGGTGACCTGGGTGGAGTAGCTACCGAGCCCCCATTTCTTTGGATGTCTTAATCTTCGATGCTTAGGTTATCTCGGAGATAAAGTGTCGTTTTTCTCTCAGTTCTTACTCAAAAGTGATTTTATTAACGCAATTTTTTATACACTTAGAGTGTGCATCGGTAGGATGCCGGACGGTAGTAAAACAGCTGTATTTGCGTAAAATGATTAGCCGCTGGACAATAGGCGTCGCGTGATATATTTAGATACTGGAGGATATTTTCAGACAATACCAAGGCTCTTCATTTCCTCTGGTTTACTTAAAGCAAGGATACGGAGAGTTAGAGGTCACAGTTTACTCACAGCTTTTACAAAACACCGCTCCTAACCTTTTGCATCTAAACAAACAGAACCAGCAGTATCACAAAACTGAGGTAGACCTATTTTACACGTCTCTGTTGCTGGAAGCATTTCTCGGGCTCCGTGTTTACATTGTCTCACGACCGGCAACACACCACACATTTGTTTAAAAGTTTAATAATTAAGTGATTTCCTCCCCTCACTGGCGAAGCTCTCCTTTGATGCCCCTTGTAGTGCATAGATACCCAAGCTCTCTCTCCCACTTGAGCGCTAAGTTTCCGTCCCGGGAATCAGATCCTTTTCCACCAAATTGCGTTGCCGGATCTGCAATTCCTTCCTCACTGCAAATTAAATTTAATTAAGCAGTTTACTTAAAACGTATTCGATGTTTTGTGTGAAAAGCAAACTGATTTTCTTGTTTCCTTAGGTGGCAGATTTCATTAGAGAACTACGAAACACAACACAAAATCTATGGGGCTTCGAGCGCACCTCAAATTTCTTTCTCCTCTGTTGCGAGCGAAAAGAGCGGGCTCCGCCAGGCTGAAACACTGGTTTAGTTAAAGAGGTGGAAAGAGAACATTGGCTTCCAAAATTGATCCGAGAAAGAAATTACAGGGCCAGTTGTTTTCCTTATAAGAGATTCTTGGCGTTCGTCTAAAAGTCGGACAAGCACCCCCACGAAGCCGATTTTTAGGTGAATGCCCGTATTTTTTCGGAATAAAATTATGCGAAATTGGCTCTTTTTAGGATCTTTGGTAGCATGTTCTTTGCGTGCCTCGACTAAAAGGTAAGATAATAACAGAAACAACGTCGTAATTTCCTCGGATTTAATTTTTAATCCTTTCTGCAGATACTATTTTGGCAAGGAATCACCACTGGAAGAAATTCGGTAACTCCCTTAATTTCACAGGAGCGACTATAACATTACACAACCCGTGTTTAACCTCGGTACAGCTCTTGTTGCGGACCCCTCGCGTGTGCTGCCTGCCCAGCCCGGTGCCGCCGTACCGCCGCCCCGTTTCACCTTACACGGCGGCTTGTGCGGGGGAACGGCGTAGGCGGCGGGCCGGGCAGGACGCGGGGGAGCAGCGGAGGGGCATAGCCGGGGGCACCACTCCCCCCGCAGAGGCCAGCGGCTGGCCGCTAGTGGGAGCTGTGGTCCCGTGGAAGAGCCGCAGGAGTCGCCGCGCGTCGGGCTCCGAGCGCGGCGTATGGAGCACCCGCGGGGGCCGCCGTGACCCCCCGGCGCCCTCCGCACCCCTCGGGGGACCTGCGGGGCCGCAGGGGAAGCATCTCCCGCGCTGCTCGCAGGTAGCTCGCTCTGGCCAGAAATTAATGATAGAATGAAATAAAAGGGCCAGGTGTCGTGCCGTTGGGATACGCGAAGAAATGGGTCCGAACCCTTCCCCACTGAACTCTGGAGGGGAGGAAAGAAGTGCTGAGCGATCGCCAGGGAAAGGCGAGGGAACCCGCACCCGGCCCCAGAGCCCCACATTGCCCGCCGCTCCGCATCCCTTTGAGGGGCTCCGCGTGTCCGATTCCTCTTTATTTAGTGACGGCCTGTGGCTAATTGTCGCGCAACCAGACAAACTTTGGAAACTCCCAGAAACCAGGGGAAGGGCCAGTGGAGACCGAGCGCGGGAGCACCCCCTGCCCTCCTCCCCGGCAGAGAACCCGCAGAAAGTTGCGGGGGGAGCTCCGCGCCAACGGGGACAGGGCCCGGTACTTCCTCGCGCAGCGCCGGCAGCCGCGCTCCCCCGGGGTGCTGCGCCCGCACCGGCGGGCGGGGTGCGGGGGAGCCCCGTACTCCCTGGCCTTGCCGCTGCTCCCCGCTCTATAAACCGCACTGTACTGGAGGAACAGTTTTAGCAAAGATTGGTTTTTAATGCTTATTTAATGTCTTCCCCCCCTCCCCCGGTTTCGCCCCGCGTGGGCCCGCCGTCCGTCCCGCACCACCTTGGCATGACTAAGACCCAGTGGGCTCCCCAGTCACGCCGGCCGCCCGCGGCGCGGCGTGGCGGGGCCAGGGGGTGTTACCTGGCGGCCCCGCTCGGCCGGGCCCGGCGCGGCCCCGCCCGCCGCCGCCGCGGTAAGTGACAGGCGCGGCGCCCAACCAGCGCGGCGGCCCGGCGGCGGCCCTATGAGCGGCGGCGGCGGGGCGGCGGGGCCGCGCTTATATGGCTACGGCGGCGCGCTGCCGCCGGCCGCGCTTCTGCGCCGGGAACTCGCCGAGGCGGCAGGGGTGACGGCGGCAGCAACAGCAGCAGCAACAGCAGCAGGGGAGCGGAGCGGAGCGGAGGGGCGACATCGCTGGTTGGAGGCGCCGCGGTGGGAACGGCCGTGGCTGGCGCCGCTCCTCTCCTCTCGCTCCCTCCCTTCTCCTCCGCGGTGGGGCTGCGTGGCGGCGCAAGTCCCGCACTCGGCGATCCTCGTCCTCCGTCGGTCGGCCGCCGCGGCGCGCACTGCAGATCGCGCAACGGGGGAGAGGGACGATTTGACGCTGCAACCCCCCGCCGCCCATATATTTTTTTTTTAATTATTTACTGTTATCCGTTCCTCTTTCTTTCCTTGCTACGCTCTGTGGTCTTTGCCGGCGACAAGGACAGCAGTGCTGCTCCCCGGGGAAGCCGGAGCCCTGTGGATGCGCCTCCCTGGGACCGGGGGAGCTGACTCGGAGTGGATTTATTGACTCGTGGGTGTTTCCGAGCTCCCCGAAACAGCCCGGGCTAGCGTCCTGCGGATTGTAAACTGCGGGGAGCAGTGAGAGACACGCAGGAGGAGCCTCCCGCCGAAGCTGTGTCCTTTTCCCTCACCCCTTTATTTCTCCTACCACCGTTTGTTTTACCCTGTTTTTTTTTAATTCCCTACTCCTTTTCACGCGAGCCTTAAGACACTGTGAACGCGTATGGCGCTCTGGATTCAAATGGGAGTTGGCAGTTTGAGAAGCATCTTCCAAGGCAGCCGGGAGACCCCCTGTAAGAGGAAGAACTGAGGCGTTTGCATTTTTTTGTTATTGCTTCGGAGGTAGCTTGGATCTTACCTCACAGGAGATATTCCTACATGCGAGTGGCATACATGACTCAGTAGATCTGCTTGCAGCTCTCGCCAAGTACATCGTCGACTCTTAGCTTGTGATTTTTTTATTTTATTTTATTATTATTATTCCCTATTAATCGTCCCAGCTGTTGGGATACCGGGCACCCACCCTACTGTTGCTGCTCAGGTGCGGGGGAAGGCGCACGGCGGAGTTGGCGAAGCTCTGGGGAGGGACTCGGTGCCGCCTGCGACCATGGCAGCGCGGAGGCGAGATGCCTCCGCCTGGAAGTACTGCTGGGGAGCCGTGATGGTTTTATGCAGAACTGCACTGGCGCGGTCCATCGTTTTAGACCCCATATATTGGAATTCCTCCAACCCCAAGTAAGTTTCCATCCCGCTCCCGTCCGCCGTCTCCCTGGGGGCCGGCGCTGTCCTCCGTGGCCGTGTGCGGGGGAGGGACTGGACAGTGCGGCAGACCGGCCGCGGCTGCCTGGAGACGCGGGGACAGGGTGGGTGCAGCAGCGATGAGCAGCGGCTGCAGGGGACTCTGGCCAGGGCTGGCAGCAGGATCCGGCCCTCCCCAGGGGGAGGGTTCCGTGTGGCGGCGGAGCGCCCCGTCGCCCCTCGTCCCCGGCAGGAGGGTCCCGGGAAGGGGGGCTGGCCACGACGGGAGGGGGCAGCGGACCGGGAGCGGGATGGACAGTGGGGCGGCGGTAGCAGGCTGAGACCTGCGGGCGGGGTCCGGGCTCGCCCGGGCTAGAGCAGCGGCGGAGGCCGGAGGAGCCGGGCTGCCTGCCCTGGGCTGCCAGGAAAAGGTGATACTCTTCAACTTCTCCGTCTGCAGATGCAAACTCATCCCATTGACTCCAGCGAAGTTACATCTGCTTATAACAGGGCTAAATTTGGTTGTGGAGTTGATGGTATCAAGGCACATGTCAGTGAGTAATGAACTAAGCATTACCCATCACACAACCATTTAGTGTCATTCTTCATTAACAAACCCAGGCAAAAATGTACATGCGTTCCCAGGACTTCACTGTTAAAGCACACTCTTAAAATAGAAGCGTATCCTTTAAAAAAAATCCTCTTTACTTAAACATACAAAATTATTGCTGTTGGAAAGAGGAAATTCTGGAAAGTGGGCCGTCCTTCTAAAAAGAAGTCTGAGGCAGTAATGAAAAGCTAATTCTGCTACTCTTTTGTCCCCTTGAATTTTTGACATACAAAGTGGAAGTTGACTCTGTACAATTGTGAGATATTTTGAACTTTTGTGATTATAACCACCAGTTTAGAAAACAGAAATCACAGTAAGAAGATATAGTCTGTAATGCGTTTAGGGAGTTTTAAAGCAGTGATGCAACACCAGAAGTGGGTTAAAATAATTTCTTTAAACGCATGCTCTATCTTCAATTATAGATATTTAAAATCAAACCATATGCACTGGGTTAATTATAGATATTTAAAATCAAACCATATGCACTGGGTTAATTGAATTTAGAAGTTCCCATTAAGTCCAGTGAGTACACATCTTGTTTTCCCTGGGGACTTTGTACAGGAAGTGTTAGGTGGTGATGAGACAAGAATGAATGGAGTATTTCCTGGATCGAGGATTAATTCTGCGTAGGTGGCAGGATCTCCAGGAGTTTGTTGAAGATTTCAAAGTTTGAATTGGAAGTAGCATCTCAAGTTTATCAAGTAACCTTGCCTTACAGGCATCATTATCTCCTGTTGTTTTCACTGAAGGAAAATCGCTACAGATTTCTGCATGTATTTTTTCTTAATAGTGTGAATAGTTGCTTTATTTCTGCAAGTCTTTTTTACCGAGTAGTTTTTCTGATATTTCTTAAAAAACACCAGGAACGCTGTGGACTGCTCAATTCGGTGTCTTTATTTATAACATTAATTGACAAATGCTCATTTTATATATGCACCAGGTGGGAAGCCTGTTAAAATAAACTTTAGCTCCAGTCACTGGCTCAGCACTTACATGATGCTACATAGCTAAAGCCTTTCTTTGACTTAAGAAAGACACGGCATCACATCAGAGAATAAAGCGGCCTGGCTGGTTGTAAAGCGGCCTTTATAAGGCTCTTTAGGCTCTCGAAAGGCAAAGGCTGCGAGCCGGGGTTGCATTGCAGGAGTGGGCCTGCTGTGCTGGTGGAAAACAGCCTTGGCTCGGCCTTGGAGGAAAGTGAAGGCTTTCGCATCCCAGCCTTCGCTGTGTTTATGCCTACAGAGGTCACTCTTCCAAAGCAGAAGAGCCGGCTGCTCTGAGCTCTCCTCCGCCAGCCCCAACCTGCTTTCGCTTTTTTTAACTTACCTTGATCGCTTTTATTACCTATCAGTGAAACGAAAGTATCCGGGCAGCTGAATTCAACCCATCTTACAGAGCCTGGGGATATGCTTCCTTTATCAAACACGATTTGTGTTTCCATTTAGTTAATTCTAAACTGTTTGATTACAAAAAAGGTTTGAATGTTGTTAATGGTAGATCTAATGATAATATCTAATTACTTTTTCAACTTAAATGCACGTTTAAAAATAGGTTGTGTTGCTGATGTAATTGAATTTTCTTGAGTGATTCATTGAGGCTTAATCACCACAGTGAAGAAGTACACTATTAAAATTAGTCTTTTCAATTGCTGGGGCTAGTGATTTATAGGCCACTTGGAGGCCTGGAGTTTGAGGAGGCTTACAAATGCATTCCTGATATTGCTGCCGGTAAGGCAGCTCCACTTCTCAGAGCAGGATTTCTTACTAATTCTTCTCACAGTTGTTTGCCTGAAGGATACTGAATAATTTCTCCTTAGATGAGATTGTCCTTACTCTGGATTCAAGCTGCACGTTAGGTTGAGAAGTAAAGCTGCTGAATAGATCTTGGCATGGTATAATAATAAAGCTCCTTTTTAGGTTTGAAATAATAACTATCTTTGGTGCTGTTTAATTTATTCAGGGAAGCAGTGCATTTAACTCTATTGAAAACCTCAACACATAAATCTGCTGAACAGGTAGGCAATTAAATGCTGGCAGAAGTTGTTAGTCAGGTTAATATATAGTATGAAATAATAAATTTTATGTTAAGGTGAATGTATAAACTGAATTGGTTTTGCACTGAAGTCTAGAGGTTATAATTTCTAGCAGGTGGCTGGGATGGAGAGCACGCGGTAGCTATTTGAACACAGAGCTCCCTCCCTTGTTCCCCCCCTTCTTTTTAGAGATCTGTTTTATTGCCTTGGCCAAATCACGAGGTTGAAGTGACCTCTATATAATAATTATACCTGTGACTTTATTACTTGAGAGGTTAAACATCATTGTTGCAGATGGTCTTGGTAGACTTTACAGACTTACCATCTGAAGAACTTCGGATCTCCTGATCCTGAAAACACTGAGGAAAAAATACTCTGTAGCTTTAACTCCTGTTACCACTTTTTAAGGGGGGACTTTCTGCCTGTGTTGTTTCTGCCAAGGCAAACAATGTATGCAGATAGCACGGGTTACCTCAGTTTCACCTCACAAGGGCTCAGCACTGCCTTTGATACGTAGGGCCGCATGTAGTGTTATGGGGTGCCCTTTTGTGAAGCAGTACGGGAATCTTATTCAAAAAAGCATCGCTTATGTCTAAGTGTCATTATTCCCTCCGTGCTATAGGCCGGCAAGCAGGGCGGTTCTTCTTAAGACATGTGGAAGGTTATCCTCACAAGTGGTGCCTTTGACACTGATTAAGTTAGGTTATATAGCTGTTTTTCTCTCCCTCTGATAACCAGTTATATATGGGATGTTTCACAGCCCGCCTCTGAATGAATGCTAACATGTCAGAAACTGATAAAATAAACTACAATTGATGACCCTGTTAAATGTTCTATTCAGTAGCATATAGACTAGTCTGCTTTTCATTGTATCTGAAATTCTTATTTTTGTAGGTAAACAAATGCACATTCACTACGGATTGAATAGCCCCTTGAACTGTGCTCTGCAGTTTGCATTTGGGTTAATCTTGTCGGTTTTAATACAGAGAGAAAAAAGGGAGAAAGCACCAGGGGTGGAATTGTTAGTGCTTTCACATCCACATTCCTCACATTTTGTCAGGATGATAAACTGTAGGTAATGGACAGCCCTTGTTTCACAGGACCGGGCTAGCCAGCCAGAGCACAAAGAGCTTGCTAAAACGATATCTCACAACATGTTTGGGAGCCTCACAGCTAGACAAGAATTTATTTGGGACTCTTGTGCTGTGGGACCGCACTTTCTAACCTCAGCAATTACAGCTTCAAGCTGAAGAAACGGGAGTGGAAGATTAAAATGATTTAAACACGTGCTCCTAAATTGTACCCAAAACATAGCTATTGACACTTGGCATGCTAAGAGAAGGAGCGAGAGGTGGCTTCCAGTTCATTTGATATCTCTGGCATTTGTAGCCAGGTCTCTGAAGCACAAGTGAATTAGCAAAATTAATTCAGAATAAACTGAAGGCTGATTTCTTTAGCGCATTATTTTCTCCAGCCTTTTTTATATGCAGTATAATTGCTATATTATTTATAGTAATTATCTTAAAGCATGTTATCTGTAAGCTGTGCTACGTTATTTCACTTTGTTTAATGAAGTAATTGCTTTTGGAGAGGCAGTGACTAAAAGTCATGCTAAAATCACTTAAGTTCTCCCTCTTCCCACACACAGGAATGCTGCCCTCCCCCCCCTTTTTTTCTCTTCCCTGTTTTATTGTGAGGAGATCACATTGCTCGAGGTGTGACGCTCTGGATCATTTAAAATTCGGCCAAGGTTCCCGTCATGGGAAGTCAGCAGCAGAGGAGCTGAGGTGACTGCTGTGACACGCTGGCAAAGACAGGCCTTTCAGCCCTGAGCACCAGCCACAGGCAGGCCTGCTTTGGGGACTTTTTTTTTTTTTTTTTTTTTTTTTAGGATTTGGTCTTCATGTGTCAGTGCAAACCTGCAGTACTTGAAATTGCTTGTTGCAAATGAGAAGAAAGTGTTCTTCTGAGGAAAAAATAGTGATTAAAATGTTATTCATGTTTGCCTAGTGTCTGTCTGCCTTGGCTGCTGACATAAAGAAACCTGTTTTTCTGGTCATTTATCATACATCTACATGGATTTCCTTATGAGCTCATTCTTTGTGAGGCGTTGTGGAAACTTACATAGGAATGTTAAACTGCTTGAAATATTTTGATTAAAATACTCAGTGCCACTGAATATAGACTTTTAACCAGCACACTGTTGTCTTGGGGGAGGGGAGGTTTTTTTGGGAGGGGAGGGAGGGAGCAGGGAGGGAGAAGAGTTTATGGGGGAGTTGCATGAAAAAGCAGAGGAAGGGAGGATGGCAAATAGACAGTGTTAGAAGAGCTTGGAAAAAAACTCCTGTGGCTTCA